GATCTCCACCTCACTCGTGATGTTATCCGATGCGGTCTACGCCCTTCCAGGCCTGTTGGTAACACTTCTCCTGGCAGATGTTCTGGGCGGTGGGGCGATGGTGATCGTTTTTCTACTCTGGATCGTCGCCTGGCCAGAATACTTTCGTTTGTCCTATTCCGTGGGGCAGCAAATTGTGAACATCGACCATGTGCTTGCATCCCGCCTCGCAGGTGCCAGCGGGGGGACAATTTTCCGCCTGCAGGTTCTGCCCGTGATCCTGCCTTACCTCTTGTCATTGGGGGCAATCTCCGTCGGGCGCATCGTTCTGGCGATTGCCACTCTTGGATTTCTCGGCGTCGGAATTGCACCACCCCAGGCGGAATGGGGCATGATGATCAATGATCTTCGCGTCTACTGGCAAATTTCACCCGTTCAATTGGCAGCACCGGTGTTCGCGATAGTCTGGGTAGTGCTCGCCTTGCTTATCCTGTCGCAATCAATGCCCAAAGCCAAACCGGGCTTGAATTGATGCATTGTCTTGAGGCCCGCAATCTCAAACTGTCTGCAGGACAATTGTCGCTGGATGTTCCACACCTGCGTTTCAAGCAGGGAAAAACCTGTTGTGTTGTCGGGCGGTCAGGTTCGGGAAAGTCACTCCTTGCAGCTGCACTTTCAGGATTGCCGGTTCCCGGGATGGCCATGACCGGAGATGTTTGTCTCAATGGCTCCCCCGCAGAGAGACCACTTTGGAAAGACCATGTCTTTGTCCTTCCGCAAGAACCGGCACTTGCACTCAATCCAACCTTGCCTGTCGGCAAACAGTTGGCTGAAGTGTTCCGTTGGCGGGGCGACCCTGCGTGTTCCTGCAAGTCGCCAGGCGCGATCAGCGCGGAGGTTGGTCTCGACAAGGATGATCTGAAAAAGATCCCCGGCCAGCTTTCCGGCGGAATGCAACAGCGTATCATGATCGCCATGGCACTTGTCGCGCGTGCCAGTTTTGTCATCGCCGATGAGCCGACAAAAGGGCTCGACGGTGGCAACAAGAAGCGGATTATCGACTTGTTTGGCCGGTTCAGGACGTCCGGTCGCGGCCTGATTGTCATTACCCACGATCTTGAGGTGGCGAGTGCTCTGGCCGACGACATCATCGTTTTGGGGGATGGCCACATTGCCGAACAGGGGCTGGCCAGTCAGGTGCTCACCAACCCGCGAAGTGAGGCAACGCGTGAATTGATCCGCAGCGCACCGCAAATCTGGCCAACGGCTCCCGCAACACCGCAAAAACCACATTGCCCTGTCGTGCGTCTGGAAGATGTCACCTTTGGCTATCGGCGCACCAACCCAATCCTCAGTGACGCAACGATGGAGATCGATGGCGGCGAAATCGTCGGTCTACTGGGTCCGAGCGGTTCCGGGAAATCCACCTTTGGAGATCTCTGTCTCGCACTGCAAAAACCGCAGTCGGGGACAGTGCAATGGTTTGGCTCAGACCTGAATTCCGCGTTGATCCGGAAGCGACGCACAATGTTCCAGAAGCTGTTTCAAAACCCCGTAACGTCCCTTTCCACTAAACCTTGTTTTGCGGGACGTCTGACAAACTCACGCCGCAAAGTGCCGGAGCCAATATCAGAACCGAATTGATGTCGAGGCTTGGATTGACGGATGATTTGCTCCTGCGGCGGCCGGATCAAGTGAGTGGTGGAGAGTTGCAGCGTCTTGCGATCATACGCGTGCTATTGGCTCAACCAAGTTTTCTAGTCTGTGACGAACCCTCTTCACGCCTCGACATGTCCATACAACGGCTCGCAATCGACGTCATAGCTGAATATTCGTCACAATTTTCTTCTGCAGTTCTGCTGATTTCTCACAACGAAACCGTTTTGCGCAAACGCGCGAATCGTGTTTTTGAAATCTCGCATGAGGGTCGTCTATCGCTCAAAAGCTATGATTAGCGTCTCTCGTCTCCACGAAAACCAGCCCGAAGCCTGGTTCGTTTCACGAGCCAGATTTTGTCTGCAGGCTCCACATTGGAAATTAAAGCTACCGGTTCTCATTCCGCCCATGTTGTTTCCGGATGACATCAACTTGTTCCGACACTGCCGCATGTCAAAGCTGGCAGTGAGCTACTCACCAATCACGTGACAAGTTTATCGTAAATTGAACTGCTCCTTGTTTCCGCTGTCCTGGTTGGATTTCATTCTTTCGCAGCCAATGGACCGCTGCTGGAAGCTGGCCGCCAAGTGCGGAATGGGGGCGTTTAAGATTGTAGAACTCCATCCATCGAAATGCGTATGAAGTTTCGGCGCAGACGATCCGTCCAGACAAAGGACATGGACTGACTGCGCTGGACACCCGTCCAAGAGCCAAGTGGTGATCTGGCTTTGAACTCCGGGCAATGCTGCTTCCGTTTCGACATTGCCAATCTCCCTGGTGATGAAGAACAGCAGACAGAAAATGGCAAACTAAGTGAGTGTCCGCATTCCTGGGGGTACTTCAGCGCCGACACTACCCAAATCCTTTTGCAAGGCTGGAGCGATCTCAACCGAGCGATTCTAGAGCGCATCCAGTCTGTTGGCCTGTGATCGAACCATCAAGGGATGCGGTGGAAGCAGCGCCGGCAACTGACGCAGTTACGCTATTTGCAGGTCACTCGTGGACGGTTTCGGGCTTCGGGGCATGCTGGCGCAATATGCGCCTTGCGCTGCAAGCGGACAGCAGAGTGCAGCCCGACCTGACGCTTTCTGGCTTGCGACACGTCTTGGCGACAAATCTCAGGGAAACCGGGTTGGACGAACGCGCTGCCGTAGACGGACCTGGACAGATGACCGAAGCAAAGGCCCCGCACTCCTGAAGGAGCGCGGATCTGAGGCGTAAAATGGCCAGTGTTGGGAAGGTCTTTGGGGCAGAAGTGAGCAAACGACGAGTCAAAACTGTCAAACCAATAGGCTTGAACAGTGCACGCAAACAAAAAGGCAAGGAAATTCAGAAAGTTGAGTGGTGCCCAGAGGCGGAATCGAACCACCGACACGCGGATTTTCAATCCGCTGCTCTACCAACTGAGCTATCTGGGCGCGCTTTGCTTGGGTCGGGAAAAGCCCCCGTTCGCTGAAAGCCCGGTCCTTATAGAGGCTGGTTCAGACCTTGTCCAGCACTCTGGCAAAGTTTTTTGCCCGCTCCTGCCAGCAGGGTTGGGGAAAACCACAGTTCAGTTCAAGATGCTGAAAACACGTATTTTTTTGCGACATGGCGAAATTCGAGCGGGATGAGGTGATTGCATGGATGCACATCACGAGATTGTCGTGCGCGCGCGTCAACAGCGCCGGGTACCTATCCGTTCCGGCACATGCAATATCAGGGCATTTACACCCGGCCAGGGGTAATCGGTGCGCACAGAACTTCGTTCTGCCGGTACCGGGTTGAACAGGCTTCGTTTCTCGTAACGCCAAACACCGAAAAAAAATCGCGCCGGCATGCGGCGCGTTTCAATTGGCGTTCGGGGGAACACTTTACTGTTCGGTGATCCTGCCATCGGTGTAGGGCGCATAGTCGTTGCGCGCTGCGAGGTAGTCGGCAACCACCGCCTCCAGTCCGGGCCCGAAGTCATATGCATTCATGCCGCTTTCGGCAAAAACCTTGTAGCCGTCACCGCCACCGCGCATGTAGTTGTTGGAGACAACACCATAGACCTTGTCCGGATCAAGCGGCACCCAATTACCGTCTTCCATGACTTCGACAACGAGGACACGCCCGGCGCCAGGATCCTTCTTGCGCGTCCACGAGTATTTCAGACCGGCAACCTGAGGGAAGCGACCCGCGCCATCCTCGACCTGGGAGACACCGTTTTCCAGCGCCGTTACGACGTCCGCTCCCTTGAGCTGAAAAGTGGACAGGGTGTTCTGGAACGGCAGGACCGTCAGGACTTCACCCATGGTGACTTCACCGCCATCAATGGAGGCGCGCAAACCGCCACCGTTCTGGATTGCGATCTGGACACCCTGGTCCATGACACGGTCAAGCATGGCGTCGGCAACGAGATTGCCCATCTGGCACTCGCCAGCGCGGCAGGAGCCGCGGTCACCGTCGATGACATCTTCACTGGATCCGATGACCTTGCCCTTCAGTTCCTCGATCGGCGCAGCCAGTTCTGCAACCCGGGCCGCGAAGCCTTCATCCGGTGTCACGGACGCATCCAGCAGAATCGGTTCGCCCTCGGCCTTGAGGAGATTGCCGTCATCGTCCCAGGTGACATCAAGTTCGCCAAGGAACTTTCCGTAGGCATACGCCTGAACGATGGGCACTTCCTTGCCTTCCGGATTTGTAACAAGAACCGGATAGGGACCTGACGCACCTTCCTGCGTGTTGGAAAGTAGCGTGTGAGAATGTCCTCCGACGATCACGTCAATTCCGGGAACGGCCGCGGCAATTTCCATATCCCGTGGCAAGCCCATGTGAGTGACTGCACTGATCTTGTTGACGCCGGCAGCCTCGAGACCCTCAACGGCACCTTTCAGATAGTCTTCAGCCTGAAATGCTGACACTATCGCCTGGTGAGGATGTATCGACCGTGTTCGCCAGCGCGGACACGATACTGGATTTTTCGCTACCCCTTTCCAGGATGACGATGCCGGGAACCTTACCTTTCAGCAGCGGCTCGGCGCTGACCTCGATATTTCCGGAAATGATCGGAAACGTCGCCTTGCCGATGAAATTGGCGAGACCCTCCGGGCCATCGTCGAATTCGTGATTGCCGACCGCCATGGCGTCAATATTCATTTCGTTCAGGAATTCGACCGCCGCGTCGCCCTTGTACGTCGTATAGAACAGCGAACCCTGGAACTGATCACCTGCGTCTACGACAATGACATTCCTGCCATCTGCTTCGAGCGCATTGCGGCGTTCGTCGAGTTTCGTCTTGATACGGGCAATACCACCGAAACATTTTCCTTCCGCTTCGTCCTCCGCGTCGCATGTGGAATCGTACTTGTTTATCGACTCAATACGTGAATGCAGGTCGTTCAAATGCAGTATCGACAGTGAATAATCAGCATATGCAGCCGAAGACAGCGCCGTCGAGAGAGACAACACTGCAGCGGTAAGAAATCGGTTCTTCATCGGACCCTCGCCCTGGTTTCTGGTTGTTTTTCGGTTCCGCGCAAAAGGCGGGTATCGCACCTGCCGAGCTCGATATTCCGATTGGTCACAGGAGCGCATGAATCTGCTGGCCATAACCTGTCGGGAAATCGGGCCGGGTCAGCTGCGCCCCGAAATCTTTGAACAGATTTGTTGCCACCGCAAGTGGACGGCACGAGATAAAGAAAAATTAATTTAACCGGAGAAGCTTCGCGCGCCAACGCGACGCGAGAATTCGGTAAAATGTCTGACGTGGGAATTCCGGACTGCGCGCCCGATGCGGAGATCCGGACAGTCCGGCTTGTGTCCGGACAGTTACCGGGAATATTGCTCTCGTCGATGTCGTCGGTTTCGACCATGTGATCAGAACTTCTCTGAAACCAGCGTTCAGATCCACTTGGCGCAGCGGTCCAGCAAAAGGTAGTCTTCCCTTGTCGATAGTTTCCTGAACAGATCGGGCACAAGGACGCATGCGCCGAACCGATGTCTCGTTGTCTTTTACGGTCATCATGCCTCGCAGTGTTTGGCCGGGTTGCCCCTATCTGCCATCAGGCGGCAGCTGTCGCCCAGCCCTGATGAACCGGATAGCCGGCTGCACTCAGAAGGTTCGCCGTCTCGACCAGAGGCAGTCCGACAACAGAGGGATAAGATCCCACCAATTTGACGACGAAACTGCCGGCAAGGCCCTGGATCGCATAGCCACCCGCCTTGCCTCGCCATTCTCCTGACGCAATATAGTCGTCGACATCCATGCGGGACAGGCGCTTGAACCGGACACGTGTTTCAACCAGCTTGGAGCGAACCTTGCCGTTGGCTTCTGCAACGGCGACACCGGTGAAGACCCGATGCCCCCTGCCGGAAAGAAGCGACAGGCACATCAGTGCCTGCTCGGTCAGCTCTGCCTTCGGCAGCGCACGACGGCCGACAGCGACGACCGTGTCAGCCGCAAGCACGATACCCCCTTTGAGCTCCGGTGAGGCATCCGCCGACTGGCGAACGGCCTCGGCCTTGGTGCGGGCAAGCCTCAGTGCAAGACTGCGGGGCGTTTCATGCTTCCTGGGCGTCTCGTCAATGTCGGCGGGCATGAGGTGATCGGGATCGAGCCCGATCTGCTGCAGCAGCGCGAGGCGGCGCGGCGAAGCTGATGCCAGAATGAGCGGAGAATCATCGGTCATGGGAGAAAGAGCCTTGCAGCCGGAACCACCTTGAAAAGACCGCTACTTGAAGCGGTAGGTGATCCGCCCCTTGGTGAGATCGTAAGGGGTCATTTCGACAAGAACCTTGTCGCCCGCCAGAACGCGGATTCGGTTCTTGCGCATGCGCCCTGCCGTGTGAGCGATAATTTCGTGATCGTTTTCCAGTTTTACGCGGAACGTCGCATTCGGCAAGAGTTCTGTTACGACGCCCGGAAACTCCAGAGCTTCTTCTTTAGCCATTTGATATCCTGAATAAAGCGGGTCCTGCCCGCGGGTGCCGGGGAAACTAACGGATTACTGTCAGAATGTGAACAGTTCTTTCCGATCCTTACAAAAAAGAAAACTCAGTCTGCCGCCGATGGCGACCAGTCGAAGCGTTTCTTGATTCGCATCATCAGCTGAACGCGCACGGTCCGGTATTCGTTCAGGATCTGTTCGCGACTCCCCGTTGCAAGTGTCGGATCCATGGTTGGCCAGTATTCCACGTCCATCGCATCCGTCCTGGTCATCTCGAGAGCCTTGTGGTGGGCTTCGGGCGCCAGGGTGACAATCAGGTCGAATCCAGATTCGTCCAGATCTTCGAAGGTCTTTGGCCGATGTTTGCCCATATCGACACCGATCTCGGCCATTACCGCATCCACGAAGGGGTCGACCTTGCCTTGCCGGACACCGGCAGAGCGCACGTAGATCCGGCCGGGGAACAGTTTCTGCATCAGACCTTCGGCCATCGGGGAGCGAACGGAATTCATCCCGCAGGCGAACAGAACCGCAGTCGGACGCAGGCCCGGCCCGGTCACTTGTCTCAGCCTTTCCAGTGCAAGGCGTAGACCAGCGTGAACAAGCGTCTCGCTGTCTGCATGTCAACCGCGATCTTTCCTTCCAGCCGTTCCATCAAGATAACCGATCCTTCATTGTGAACTCCGCGCCGCCCCATATCGATCGCCTCGATCTGGCTGGGCGTCGCATGGCGGATGGCTTCATAATAGCTTTCGCAGATCAGGTCATAATCCTTGACGATCTTGCGAAGCGGCGACAGTGACAGGACGTGAGTGACAACCTCACGCTCGTCATCTGTTCTTATGCGGAACACCAGTTTCTTTTCGACAACCGCAAGGTCGAGAACATATTTCGCGGGTGGGTGCCCCACTGGCTGGAAACTGTTTTCCTCGATCAGATCGTAGATCGCGACTGCCCGGTCATGCTCGACTTCCGGGGTGGAACGCGCAATGGAGGCTTCGTCCAAAACGATATCCACCAGCCGACTGCCGGCGGATTGCGAACTGGTTTCCGGTTGCGTATCGCTCATGTGCGAGAAGCCTCCTAGAATCTCCGTTACATGTTCAACCTGATGGAAACAGAGCGCGCGTGCGCCGACAACCCCTCAGATTCGCCCAGTGTGATTGCCGCCGGGCCAAGAGCCCGCAGATTATCCGCATTGCACTTCAGGATCGAGGTGCGCTTGACGAATTCCAGAACGGAGAGACCTGAGGAAAACCGCGCAGACCGCGCCGTGGGCAACACGTGATTGGAGCCACCGACATAATCACCAATCGCTTCCGGCGTATAGTGTCCGAGAAAAACTGCCCCCGAATTGCGCACTTTTTTCAAGAGATCTTCCGGATCGGCAACAGCCAGCTCCAGGTGTTCGGGCGCGATCCGGTTGGCCAGCGGCATTGCGGCCTCAAGGTTCTCCACCAGAATGATCGCACCGAAATCCTGCCAGCTGGCCCTTGCCACCTGCTCGCGCGGCAACGTATTCAGCTGCGCGTCCACTGCTCTTTCCACCTGAACGGCCAGATCTTCGCTATCTGTCATCAGAATGGACTGGGCGGCCGTATCGTGCTCGGCCTGAGCCAGCAGATCGGCGGCAATCCAGTCGGGATTGTTGTCGCCATCCGCTACGATCAGAACTTCGGAAGGCCCGGCAATCATGTCGATGCCGACGGTGCCGAACACCCGGCGCTTTGCAGCAGCAACAAAGGCATTTCCGGGACCGACGATCTTGGCAACCGGAGAAATGGTTTGAGTACCGAAGGCAAGTGCGGCAACGGCCTGGGCACCGCCAATACGGTAAATCTCGGTGACGCCGGCAACTCTGGCGGCCGCCAGAACGAGCGGGTTCAGAACGCCGTCCGGGCTTGGCCCCACCATCACGATGCGATCGACACCGGCAACACGCGCCGGAACGACGTTCATCAGCACCGAACTCGGATAGCTTGCCAGGCCGCCACGTAGACGCCAACAGCCTCAATCGCCAGTCCAGAGCGACCCAGTTCCACACCGATGTCATCGGTATAACGTTCGTCCCTGCACCTGGCGAGAATGATGCGGCGATCCGGTCATGAGCGAATTGTAAGGGCCTCCAGCGTTTCCGCCGGCACTTCCTTCACTGCTTTCTCAATTTCGCCCGGAGACTGTGGCTCCGCCATGCCGGCTGCATCGAGTTTGGTCAAATTTTGCATAGTCCAGTACGGCCCTGTCGCCGTTCGCGCGAACATCTTCGATTGGCGTCGCGAACCACCTGGTCGACATTTTCCTGAGACTCCCCTCTTGCCCGCCAGAAGGTCCTGGAACCGTTCCTCAAATCCCGTTTCGGTGCTGTTTAGGCGTAGAACCACGCGCATCTCCATCACAAACGGTGCCAGGCACCGAATTAGTCCCGATCATCGGTCAGCTGAGGTCGTGTTGCGGCAGGGTGGGGGTCGACCAGGCGGCACCGAGGTCGGAAAGCTGCGCCTCTATGCACTCCACGTCCAGCGCAATGCTGGCACCACCGGCAAAAGCGAGCTGGATTTTGCCTGAAGGCTCATCTGCTGCCTCAAACGTGACAGCCAGCAATTCCAGCACCACGCCCTTGGCTTCCTGCCGGATGTTCTGCACCTTCATGCCTGTCACCTGCCCGACAGCAAGGGCGGATCTGCGACGCTCGTGTTCCCTCGTACGCTTGTCCGCCTCCTTGTCCCAAACGAAGCGGTTCACGATGAAGACCGCCATTTTCTCCTTCGGCAGAAAGCGGATGTCCGCCACCGTCATTACGGCGTCCTGCAAGTGGGTGGAAAGAACCTGCAGGTCTTCCTGGTCGAGGGCGGCAAGTTTCAGCTGATCCATAGCGGTCTGATTCTGATCCGGTTAGTCTTGTTTTCGGCAGACCGCATATAGGGCGTGTCTGGCATTATCCCAAGGGAGATGACCTACAGCGGAAATCAGCGTTTTGCAACGCCGAATAACTTCGACAGGGCGCGTCAGGGGCCGTCATCCACGCGCTGACGCAGATCCTGCCTGATTTCATCGAGTGTTGCGATGCGCTTGAACACCCTGCGACCAAGCCAGAGACCGAACACCAGAAGAAAAAAACCAAGTGTCGGTCCGAAGGGCGAAGCGACAAACACAACCGCCAGCAATCCAGCCAGGGCAAAACAAACCTGGATCAGGAACCTGATTGTCTGTGCACCCATCTATTCCCCCGCTCTTCGCCAGATTGACTGCCCAATGATGACCGCGCCAATATCGCTGGCCGCGCTGGCTTGCAATCGCTGCAAGCATCTAGGACAGTGCGTTCAGGTCAAAATACCCTTCGCTGTCAGGAATGCCATGTTCAAATCGCTGTCCGGCCTTCTTTCAGTCTTGCTGTTTTGTGATTGCTGCTGCGTCAGCACAGGACGTCACCAGTGCTGTCTGGCGAAACGATCTATGTGCCTGCCTATTCCAGGATCTTCTCCTATCCGAACCGCTCGGACCTGCTCGCAACTACGCTTGCGGTGCATAATGTCGATCCGGACACGACCCTGACACTGACCAGGGTCGATTACCACGGCGAAGACGGAAAGTTGCTGCGCAGCCTGCTTGTAGCTCCGTTCGAACTTGCGCCGCTGCAGTCAAAGACCGTGCTTGTTCCGATCAATGACACCAGCGGTGTCGGGGCAAATTTCATAGTGGTCTGGACGGCTGGCAGCACTCGCCTGATTGCCGAGGCGATCATGACAAGCGGCAGCGGCGGTCCCGGTCCCTCCTTTACCTCAAGGGGCCGTGTAATCGCACGTCAGCAGGCGGAATAACCGGTTCGCCTGCCCCTCAAGTGTAGCCGCCGGCGGATCAAGTTCAGGATCGCAGCCCGGTATCTGTCTTAACCGGAAATCCGCTCGATCTGCGCGCCACAGCGGGTGAGCTTGTCTTCCAGGCGCTCAAAACCACGATCGAGATGGTAGACCCTGTTGACGGTTGTTTCGCCCTCGGCTGCCAGTCCTGCAATCACGAGCGAAACGGAAGCCCTGAGATCGGTTGCCATGACGGGTGCGCCGCGCAACGTTGACACGCCGTCGACCGTCGCAGTGCGGCCGTCGACCTGGATCTGGGCGCCGAGACGGGCAAGGTCCTGGACATGCATGAAACGGTTTTCAAAAATGGTTTCGGTGATCTGGCTGGTGCCGCCTGCCTTGGTCATCAGCGCCATGAACTGGGCTTGCAGATCGGTCGGGAAGCCCGGGAAAGGTTCCGTGGTGACATCGACCGGCTGAATACCGTTGCCATTGCGATAGACCTTGATGCCATCCGGTGTCTGGGTGAAGTCGGCTCCGGTCTGGCGCAGCGTGTCCAAAGCTGCCTCCAACAAATCCGTGCGAGCGCCCTGAAGAAGCACATCACCGCCTGTCATGGCCACCGCCATGGCGTAGGTTCCCGTCTCGATCCGGTCAGGAACAACGGCATGGTGAGCACCGTGAAGACGCGGAACCCCCTGGATCCGGATGGTCGATGTCCCCTCCCCCTCAATCCTGGCGCCCATGGCCTTCAGGCAACGGGCCAGATCGACCACTTCCGGTTCGCGCGCGGCATTGACGATTTCCGTCTCACCGTGTGCGAGGGTCGCCGCCATCATGACGGTATGCGTTGCACCCACGGAAACCTTGGGAAACTCGACACGCGCTCCCTTCAGGCCACCTGGTGCCCTGACCACAACATAACCACCCTCGATCTCGATCTCGGCACCGAGCGCCGCCAGTCCGTCGATAAAGAAATCGACCGGGCGCGTTCCGATTGCACAACCACCGGGAAGCGAAACACGCGCCTCGTGCATGCGCGCAACCAGCGGGCCGATAACCCAGAAGCTGGCCCGCATCTTGGAGACCAGTTCGTAAGGGGCCGTCGTGTCGACAATTTCACGGGCGGTCAGGTTAAGCGTCTGGCCTGCCAGGTTGTCCTGACCGCTGCGCTTGCCGTTGACGGAATAGTCGACGCCGTGGTTGGAGAGAAGCTGCATCAACTGCGCGACATCGCGCAATCGCGGTACATTTGAAAGCGTCAGGGTTTCGTCTGTCAGAAGCGAAGGACGCGGAAGCGGCAATGCTACATTTGCTAGAGGCGCTGGGATTGCGTCACCTCGGACCCCGCCGACGACCTCGATGCCATCCATATGAACTCCGAACCCGCCGCTTCCCCAGCGGCCATCCCCAGAACACCACCAACCTGCGGTCTACACACACGTTGTGACCCATGCAAGGCGGCGATTGGCCGGACATCGGGCGTTTTGCGACAGCTCGCCAAGCTCCCGATCCCGATCTCCAGCACTTCAGTCCTGCTTGCGGGCCCTGGCTGCACTTTTGCGGCGGCGCAGATTTGCTCTCAGGGCCTCGGCACGTCGATCGTCCCGTGAAGGTGAGCCAGGCTTTGCCTTGGACACATCACTGTCTTGCGAGGAATTTGCGCCGCTATCGTCAACCGATTGGCCTTTTTGATCTTTTTCACTCATGGGCGTTGTGAACGTCCTTTCTGGTCCCACGTCTTCTATCAACAGGCAGGCGCCAGGGAAAGTCGGCCTGAACTTGCGGCATGAAACAGCACGCCGGTTCAATATCGTCCCGCTTGCGCTTCTTCCCGGTTGCAAACAGGATGCGGCAGCCTGTTGAATACACCCCGAAAACGCGTCTTTACAGACTATATCCACAAGCAGGTTTTACACTGTTTTTCAGCCGGGATTCAGAACGAAATTGCATTTGAGATTCGCGCCCCAATTTCCAAGGCGACCCTTGCCAAAAAAAATCCAAATGACGGCTTGCCTCCAGCAGGCTCTTATGGCACAAGCCCCCTCATTCCGGGCGGCACCGCTGGTCGGGAACAGCATTCGCGTCTCAATGCCCGGGCTTTTTGCCATTTCCGGCAACGCGGGGCTCTTCAAGATGCCCTCATATGCTGCCGTAGCTCAGGGGTAGAGCACTCCCTTGGGAAGGGAGAGGTCGAGAGTTCAAATCTCTCCGGCAGCACCATCGTTTCCCAATAAAAACAATAGCATAACTACGGCAATCAACAAGGCCTATTGTGCTGATGCTGGCAAATGTCGTCAGCGGACGACAGGAAACTGGCTGGAAAACTTGCGCCAAGCAGTCAAGCGTGATCCAATTTCAATCAGAATCCCAAGAGAGGCTGATCAAGCAACAGTTGTGAGCGTGAGCAGTGCAGCAGTTTAGACTTCACATCTTGCTAGAAAGAGAGAACCGATGATCCGGGATTAGCTTCGATTAAATTCCCGTGTGTGTTTAAGGATAGCTCATTATTTTGTGTCTGCCAACATTTCGGTTGAATATCCAGGTCACCATCGTTGTTGTCGTTGTCGTTGTGGTTGTTGTGGTCGTTGTGGTCGTCATCGTGGTCGTCGTTGTGGTCATCGTTGTGGTCGTCGTTGCGGTCGTTGTTGTGGTCGTTGTTGTGGTCGTCGTTGTGGTCGTCGATGTGGTCGTCGTCGTGGTCGTTGTCGTCGTTGCGGTCGTTGTTGCGGTCGTTGTTGTGGTCGTTGTGGTGGTCGTTGTGGTGGTTGTTGTGGTGGTCGTTGTGGTGGTCGTTGTGGTCGTTGTCGTGGTCGTTGTCGTGGTCGTTGTCGTGGTCGTTGTCGTGGTCGTTGTCGTGGTTGTGGTCGTTGCCGTGGTCGTTGTCGTGGTCGTTGTCGTGGTTGTTGTCGTGGTCGTTGTCGTTGTCGTGGTTGTTGTCGTTGTCGTTGTCGTTGTCGTTGTCGTTGTCGTTGTCGTTGTCGTCGTCGTCGTCGTCGTCGTCGTCGTCGTCGTCGTCGTCGTCGTCCGCATTCGTGTTCGCGTTGCTGTTTGTGTCCGTGTCGGTGTTCGCTTTTGTGTTCGTGCTCGTGTTTGTAGTCAAGTCCAGGTTTGTCTTCATGTGTTCGTGTTAGTGTGGGTGTTACTGTTGCTGTTACTGCT